CAACGTCGTATAGACCCCAATATAACGGCAATATTCAGTATTTTTAAAATTTAACAGAATTTTTTAAGGATTATATTTTTTTAAAATTTCCAAATTCGTTCCAAATGGTGGAGGGTATTCAAAGTTCGACCCGGCCGAACTTACTGCTTTTTAACTTTTTTTTACGGATTTCCAAAAAACCCAGCCATATCACACACCTACGCACCAATATTGGATGTCGTGTAAAATTGTCAATATTTTAGCTTCATTCAGTCAGTCAGTCAGTCAGTCAGTCAGTCAGTTTCTTTCACTGCTCTTTTACATACATTGATATGACAGCCCCTTCTAGTGAGAAAAGAGGAGATAAATCTAAAATTTTAAAAAAAGTTCTAAATAGTACGGCTTTATATTTTGGGGTATCTCTAAGAAATAGGACCTACGATGATTATTCTTGACTCAGTGGGCCAGATTTTGAATATCTGTATGATTAGAGTACGAAAATTACTAAGAGGCACAAAATGGCACGACACTATTTTGGAGCAAATAGTAACAGTTGGAATTTCAAATTTTAAAATTCGAGCGTTCAGGGTGCGAAGAATTTAAAAAAGGAGCTATGTTTTATTTGTAGAAGCTAGAACTATGACATCTTTTACGAGGGCCGCATTTGGTAACTGAAAACGACACCTAAAAGCTATCTAAAATAATTTTCCATTTTTTTTTGCTTTTTTTATAGGTTTCAAAACCACTGTCCTCCACATACCCCCTTCCCATCATCCTCCCCTTTTAAGAACCAAATTTACATAAATTTGTATTTTTCTACTGTGCAAAGTGGCAGCAAGGTTATTCGTAAACGGGGTTGTTTGTATTTCAATAACTCCGCTTGGCACTGCTCTTATTTCGCTGTCAGGACTTATTGTATTGCTGTATTGTATTTATGTATGTACTTATGTATCCCTCTGTGTGTACTGCTATACATCTTAACGTACTTACAAAAGTTAAATTCAGTTCAATTAAAAAAAAAAAACAAGAATTTTTCGAAAGGTCGCTGAGGTAACACATGGCATTTAATGGGCGCTCAATGTGTCTACAACAACAACGACAACATAAATCGGCAATGGAAAACGGGAATCGTTTGGGAAGACTCTCTTGCCAAAGGGGTGCCGCTGCTGAATGAAACATATTTTGACTTCATATTTTATTTATGTCACCAAATGTCTTTGTCATTAGGCAGCAGAGGCACACACACACATACAGATACAGCAGAACGTTGCTTGTTGTTAAAGTCACCGAAAGCTATTGAGAAATTTTAAATTATTTAATTCAATTCAATTTGCCAAACGAGGCGTGAATTTAATAATAAACAAATTTTTTGTAAATGAATTTGTAACGCTTAAGGTTGGGATGAAGTTTTATGGTACCGAATACAACTCCCAGATGGCAAAAGCTAGAATCTTAAAATTTTGCAAGAGGTTCAGTCTTGGCTCGTAGGTATTTTATCCTTTTGGAAATTCATACTAAAAAGGGTACGAAATATACTAAAATGTACCAAAAATGTTATACTTTGTATTGGACAAACGGAATGGTCTAGAATTTGAAATTTGGAATGAGGGTCACTGATGGAGTGCAGGATAGATGGACCAAAGGGTTTTTGGAAATTCGAACTTTAAGGTTACGAAAATTTCTAAAATTGTACTAAAAACTTAAAATTAGGTTTGAGAATCAAGTCTGGAAAGTATGTTTCGGAAGGAAGGAGGTTTCGGAAATCAGTACTAAGTGTGCGAGCTGTACTAAATGGTACTAAATTTGGAACCGTTTTAGGCTGAACGTACGAAGCTGGAATTTCAAAGATTTGGTATTGGGATCCCTGTTAGTTGTAAATTTGTGATGAAGAGGTGATTTTGGAAATGTATACTACAAGTGCACGAAAAGTACTATATTTGGTACAATCTGGAATTGGGCGAACAAATAGTATTGATATCTTAAATTTGGTATTAGTTCATGTGTAGCCTGGACATATAAAGGTGGCTTGGGAAATGTAAAGTAAAATTGTACGAAAAGTACTAAATAGTACTATGTTTGGTATTGGGTGAAGAGATAGAATTAATGGTCTGAAATCTTATATTTAGAAGATATTAGATTCAGGTGGCATCTGTGTTTGAGATTTAGCGTAGATTTGGAAATCCGTCCATTATTTGTACGAAAAGTAATTAATTATTGGCGAAGGGATATGGCTGGAATCGTCAAATTTGATATTGAGATCTCAGTTGGTATCTGGAATCGAGATATGGAGGCGGTTTAGGAAATGTGTACTATAATTGTGCGAGATTACTAAATGGTACTACATTTGTTATTGACTGAAGGGGTAGGACTGAAATGCTGAAATTTGATATTGAGGTGCCTGTTGGTATCTGTAATTGAGATACGGAGGTGGTTTTGAAAAATTGTACCATATTTGTAAGAAAAATACTGAATGGGACTAAATTCGTTATTGTGTGAAGGGATAGGGCTGGAATCGTCAAATTTGATATTGAGGTCTCAGTTGGAATCTGGAATTGGCATATGGAAGTGGTGGTATGGAAGTGGTTTGGAAATTTGAACTATAATTGTACGAAAAGTACTTAATAGTACTAAATTTGGTATTGGGTAAAAAAATAGAGCCGAAAACCTGAAATTTGATATTTGTGCCACTGTCGGTGGCTTTGATTAAGGAAATAAGGTGGTATTGGAAATGTGTACTATATGTGTTCGAAAATTACTATGTCGTACTATATTTTGTATTGGGTGAAGGGATGGAGCTGGTATCACGAAAATTGATATGGAGGTATCTGTTGGTATCTGGGATTGATATATGAAGGTAGTCAAGGAAATGTGATATTTGTGCCACGGTCGGTGGCTTTGGTTACGAAATTAAGGTGGTATTGGAAATGTATACTACACTTGTTCGAAAAGTACTAAGTCGTACTATATTTGGTATTGGATGGAGCTGGTATCCCAAAATTTGATATTGAGGTATGTGTTTGTATCTGGGATTGAGACATGGAGGTAGTCTAGGAAATGTGTAGTACAGTTGTACGAAAAGTTCTAAATAATACTAAATTTGGTGTAGTATGAACGAATAGTGCTGAAATATTGACATTTTACAGGGTGAGATGAAAAAACTGCAACCAACCTCAGACTGCTGTCATTTTTAAGCCATTTGTCCGAAGCCATTTAAATTTAACTTCAAATTTCGGGATCCCTATCGTTTCACACATAAGTGCAAATTTCCAAAATTGCCAACATACCCCAAGTGTATACTCCAATATAATCCTTTTTTTTCAAAATTTCAGGATACCACCTCTTATAGTACGCCCAAATTCAAATTGTACCAAATTTAGTACATTTTAGTACATATAAGTACACATTTCCAAATCTATCTCCATATTCCTATCCTACATTCCAACAGTAATTTTAATTCCAAATTTTAGGATACGAACTCTATGCAATCAAAATTGTACCAAATTTAGTACCATTTAGTTCTTTTCGTGTACATAGGTACACATTTCGAAAACTGCCTTCACATCCCCATTCCTAAACTTTAATAGTAAATTTAATTTCAAATTTCGGGATCCCCATCGGTTCACACAATTCCAAATTGCACCAAATTTAGTACACATAAGTACAAATTTTCACAATTGGCAACATACCCCAAGCGTATACTTCAACATAATCATTTTTTTTTTCAAATTTCAGCATACCACCTCTCTTAGTACGCCCAAATTCAAATTGTACCAAATTTAGTACATATAAGTACACATCTCCAAATCTACCTGTATATTCCAATCCTACATTCCGACAGTAATTTTAATTCCAAATTTTAGGATACGACCTAATTAATTAATTATTATAATTTTTCAAAACTATCTCCATATCCCAATCCGAAACTGCAACGGTAATTGTTATTTCTAAATTGAGGATTCCAGCGTTATCCGTTCCCTCAAAAAAAATTAGGACAAAATTTAGTTTCGTTTTGTGCTTTTCGTAACAACCGGCTACGATACAATTGGCTAAAAAGCTCTCTCATATTTTAAGAGGCTATAGGGAGCAAAACATTAGAGCACTCTTCAAGTCATAACCGAACTATAAATTTTTGGAATTTTTTATTTTTTTTATAAAACCTTGTAATATCCAGTTAAAATGATTCCATTTACCTTTCCCCTTCTCCATCCTCCGATTATAACAATCATATTTAAATGCCGCCAATCAAAAATTGTGATAATGCCCAAAAGCCGCAATAAAAGAAATTTTGATTTTCCATATCAACGGCCTCCCCGAAAATAAAACACTACTTAGCCGCATTGAAAATGTGCTTTGGGAGGGGGGAGGAAGGAGGACAACATGGAACATGGAAATTTTGTAAATCCTGTCATGATACACGTCAACAGATTTGATTGAAATTGATTGGCATAAAAGAAGCTCAATCATGACAATCATAAAATGCCATAATACCAGGCACACATTCTACCACGCAAATATCACATTGCCGTGATAGCGGCCAAAGGCAGTGATGACGAATTGAATCCGATTTTATGTTGGATGTATTCTTTTTCGTTGTTGTTGTAATGTTCTGGTAAGGACGATTGATTTACTGAGAAAGACAAAAAAAAGTAACAGAAAACTAGCAAGCCACCACATACATATGAAATCCTGGCAATGGATGGTTGGTCGGTCGGAAACAAATATTACAACGAACAAAAGCCTCTCGGCGTAATGATACTAACGATGATATCGCGGCTGAGGATGCTGATGATGGCGAACAAGGCCATATATTCATATTCCTGTCGAATGACAGCAACCCCATGCTTGTGGAAATGTTGTTATGCCTTTGCCCAATGCGGGGAGTTGTTACTGTTGTGCGATTTTTTTAATCTCCTCTGCCGTTGTAATGCCACCTCCTCTGCAGCTCAACATTCAACTGTTGCTACGGCAAATAATAAGCGCTCACATTTTTATTTTTCGTTTCGAGCGAATTTTCTACTTACCGGGTAATTTAAACGGTAAACCGCCCATAAGAGGATCTGGGCCGAATCGCTGCGGCCCAAAGGCAAATGGATGAAAGCCGGGATGTCGTATTTTCGAGCGTGGCTCCCTCGGACCATCCACTGTGACTTTAATGGCTTTATTGTACGTGGCAATTTGTATTGGATTCGTGGAAATCACAATGCTCAGTGTGAAACTTTTACCTGGAAAAAAGCGAAAAAATTAAAAACATTAATAATAGCCAGGGCACAGTGTTCTAATTAAAGGTCGCCAACAACTACAACAACAAAAGTAACAACAAATACTGAAATTTATATGTGAGTGCTATATGCAGGCTAATTGGAATTATATTGCCAAGCTGAGCTAATATTAATTTTTCGTGAATTTTCCATGAAATAAGATATGCCGCATGGGGTGGTTGGGAAAATCAGGAAGGACGGGTATTGGCCCAAACATTTATTTTCCTCAGTGTACCACCTGAGAACGAAGTTTTCTATAAAAAATTTTCCTCAGCCTCCCTGAGGAAGATATTATCCATAGAAAATTTTTTTCTCAGGCTCCCTGAGAACAAGATTTTCTTGGAAATTTTTTTCTCAGGCTCTCTGAGGACAAGATTTTCTATAGGAAATTTTTTCCTCAGGCTCTCTGAGGACAAGATTTTCTATAGGAAATTTTTTCCTCAGGCTCTCTGAGGACAAGATTTTCTATAGGAAATTTTTTCCACAGGCTCTCTGAGGAGAAGATTTTTTATAGGAAATTTTTCCTCAGGCTCCCTGAGAACAATATTTTCTATAGGAAATTTATTTCTCAGGCTTTCTGAGGATAAGATTTTCTATAGGAAATTTTTTCCTCAGGCTCTCTGAGGACAAGATTTTTTATAGGAAATTTTTTCCTCAGGCTCTCTGAGGACAAGATTTTCTATAGGAAATTTTTTCCTCAGGCTCTCTGAGGACAAGATTTTCTATAGGAAATTTTTCCTCAGGTTCCCTGAAGACAAGATTTTTATGTTCAATAGAAAATTTCTTCATCCTCAGTTTCCTCTGAGATCCCTGAGAACGAGATTTTCTATAGCAAATTTCTAGTCTCAGGCTGCCTGAGGACAAGATCTTCTATAGAAAAATTATCCTCAGGCTTCCTGAGGACTAGGTTTTCTATAGAAAAATTTTCTCATGTTCCCCGAGGACGGGATTTTCTATGGCATTTTTTTTTCTCAGGCTCCCCGAGGACGAAATTTTCTATAGGAAATTTTCCTCCGGCTCCCTGAGGAGCCTCAGTCTCCACTGAGGGCATAGATTTTCTATATATACATTATCTCTCAGGCTCCCGATGAGCCTCAGTCTCAGTCACCACTGAGGCAGAAATTTTCTGTAGAATATTTCTATGCCAGAGATTTTCTATAGAAAATTTAGGGCCTCAGTTGCCGCTGAGGCCAGAGATTTTCTATAGAAAATTTAGAGCTTCAGTTGCTTCTGAGGTCAGAGATTTTCTATAGAAAATTTTCTGGCCTTAGTTGCCCCTGAGGCGCAGAGATTTGCTATAGAAAAATTTATGAGGCGAGAAATTTTCTATAGAAAATCCCTGTCCTCAGTTTCCCCCTGAGGCCAAAGATTTTCTATAGAAAATTTCTCACCTCAGTCTTCCCTGAGGCCAGGGATTTTCTATAAAAAATTTCTCGCCTCAGTCTTCCCTGAGGCCAGGGATTTTCTATAGAAAATTTCTCGCCTCAGTCTCAAATTTTTTCATTGAATATTTATTTCCCAAAGCTTATCGTACCACCCCGCTTTTCCCTTGCAAATTGCAAATATTATAAATGAGTGTGCCATGGTGCCGTTCTTTTTGCAATTATTTTATGAATTTATGGATTTTCTATTTCTCACGACCGCTGCGGGCCCAAAGCGCAACATCATAGGTGAGTGAGTGTGTGTGTTTGTCTGTGGCTTTATAGACACTATAAAATATTTTGCAATCTTTCACTCTGACCTGCCCCCCTCCCCCACCACTCCGCGACCACATACAAATTCTAAAATGCACAAATAAACTGACTGGCCGGCTGCTGCTGCTGCTGGAACGAAAATATTGGTGGAAAGTTGTGTGCTGTGCCCAAAACGGAGTATGCAACTAAAACGTGATTTTATTCGTTCGTTCGTTGGCTTCATGGATTCCCCAGTGGAATGCTGACACAATAAACCGCCCCCACCCCCTTCGTGAAAGTATCCATTCTTTAACTGGAAAAACACGCATATCCTAATGAAAGGATACACATGAGCGGGGATACCGCCATTTCTATTTGAAGATTGAAAGTTTTGTGTTCCGACGCTTTATTCGATGGCCACATTTCATTTCAATTCATATAAAATTTTGCCAATTTTCAAATGAAGATCTAGTAAATGAAAATATTTACTCTTCTGACAGGAGCTCCAATTTGGGGAAGATAGTATTACCTTCGAGGCAGGGATATTAGGTGGGAGAGAAATCAATATAGTGTTCTTAACCAAATCGAAATCCCTCGCGCCAGCTATTTCCTACTTATCTCTGTCATTAAAATTAGTTCGACAATAAAAAAAATGACTTTTACATAGAATTATGCGTACCATTACACCCTAATACCCATGGCTTGTTTTCATAGCATGAATTGCGATTTCATTTCTATACTTTTGTGGCGCGATGCGTATTCGTCGCACAACCAAGAGTGAGTTGTCATAATTGTGCAAAATTTATAGACACAGCATCCTTTCGGTTATAAATATGGCAATGGTGTTGCTCCTGAATAACTACCCATGGTTTCTAAGCACAACGTCACCTCCCTCCCCGCCCTGTTTGAACACCACAACGGATATATGAAAAGTGTGACTAAAGAATTTCATAACTCCATGAATTGGAATATTTGTTAAATTGATATTTGCTAATAAAGATGAGGCAAAAATTCGCATGGAATTAAATGAAGTAAAATGACAAAGGGTGAAAGTGGAAAAAAACAACGGGAAATGAAAGAAAAACGAAGATTTCATCATCAGGTGAATCTGAGGAGGACGTAAGATTTTCTGTTGAAAATCCCATCCCCAGATGAAACTAAGGACTATTTTTTTTAGAAAATCGAATCTCAGATGAATTGAGGACAAATGAATTTCCATAGAAAATATCATCCTCAGGTGAAACTAAGAAGGACGAAATTTTCTGTAGAAAATCTCATCTTCAGGTGGAACTGAGGAGGAAGAATTTTTCTTCGTCCTAAAGTAGCCTTAGGAAAATGTTTCTATAGAAAACTTCGTTCTCGGGGAGGCTGAGGAAAAAAATCCTATAGAAAATCTTGTCCTCAGAGAGCCTGAAGGAAAATTCCCAATAGAAACTCTTGTTCTTATGGAGATGAAAAATTTCCTACCATGAAGAGAATTTTTTCATAAAAAATCCCATTCTTAGGGAGCCTGAGGAAAAAATTTCTATAGAAAATTCCATTCTTAGGGAGCCTGAGGAAACAATTTCTATAGAAAATCCCATCCTCAGGGAGCCTGAGGAAAAAAATTTCTATAGAAAATCCCATCCTCAGGGAGCCTGAGGAAAAAAATTTCTATAGAAAATCCCATCCTCAGGGAGCCTGAGGAAAAAATTTCCTATAGAAAATCTTGTCCTCAGGAAGCCTGAGGAAAAAATTTCCTATAGGAAATCTTGTCCTCAGGAAGCCTGAGGAAAAAATTTCCTATAGAAAATCCCATCCTCAGGGAGCCTGAGGAAAAAATTTTCTATAGAAAATCCCATCCTCAGGGAGCCTGAGGAAAAAATTTCCTATAGAAAATCCCATCCTCAGGGAGCCTGAGGAAAAAATTTCCTATAGAAAATCCCATCCTCAGGGAGCCTGAGGAAAAAATTTCCTATAGAAAATCCCATCCTCAGGGAGACTGAGGAAAAATTTTTCTATAGAAAATCTTGTCCTCAGGGAGCCTGATGAAAATTTCCTATAAGAAATCTTGTACTCAGGGGAGCCTGATGAAAAATTTCCCATAGAAAATCTTGTTCTCAGGTAGCCTGAGGAAAAATTTTCCCATAGAAAATCTTATCCTCAGGGAGCCTGACGAAGAAAATTTCGAATAGAAAATCTTGACCTCAAAGGCCCTGAGGAAAAAATTTCCTATAAAAAATCTTATCCTCAGGGAGCCTGAGGAGAAATTTTCCTATAGGAAATCTTGTCGCCAGGAAGCCTGTGAAAAAATTTCCCTTCGAAAATCTTCTCCACAGGAAGTTTGAGGAAAAAAATTTCCTATAAAAAATCTTATCCTAATGGAGCCTGAGGAAAAAATTTCCTATAGAAAATCTTGTCCTCAGGGAGCCTGAGAAGAAAATTTCCTAGAGAAAATCTTGTCCTCAGGAAGCCTGAGGAAAAAATTTTCTATAAAGAATGCTGTCCTCATTTCCCATCGAAACGCATGCCCTCAGGGAGCTTTAAGAAATCTTTTTTTCCTATAGAAAATTTCCTAATTTCCTTCTTCCTCGGGGAACCTGAGAAAAATATTTCTATAGAAAAATTCGGAAAAATTTTCTATAGGAAACATTGTCTTTAGGGAGCCTAAGGAAGACCTTTTCTATAGAAAATAGGAGACTGAGGAAAATCTTTTCTATAGAAAATCTCATCCTAGTGGTCTTCTAAAGTAGAAGACTTTGGCGTCTTCTATAGTAGAACTTGTGGTCTTCCTTAGTAGAAGATCTTGGGGTCCTTAGTAGAAGATCTTGGGGTCATCTACTGTAGAAGACCTTGTGGTATTTTATAGAATAACTTGGCCTTCTCCAGTTGAAGACCTTGTGGTCTTCTATAGTAGTAGACCTTATGTATGGTCTTCTCATCCTCAGGTGAAACAGATCCGGAAAAACGCATCCTCAGAATCTGATCCTGAGAACGAACTTTTGTCCGTAGGTCCTTCTAATTTTTTTTTTTCAAACTTCCTTTTTTGAAATTCAGATTTCAAATTTGATGAAATTCCTTAAAATCCAATTTTTTCATGTCTTCTGCCCAGGTGGTTGTGAACCGATATTTGTTTCTTAGGAAGAAGTTTGTCCATGTCTATCCCAAGCCAAGAAAAAGTAACCCATTCCGCTTAATACAACCCATTACTGTCATGTTGTTATTGTGACAAACATTACTTAATTGCACTATTAATGGAAATTCCTCCAGAAAACTTGGAGATAATTTGTATCCTTGTTTTCACATCTTTAC